AAATTTTCTTACTTCTTTAATCGAAGTTGGGAATGTGATACACTTGAAATCAAATTTATTTTTAGTCTCTAAATAATCAAAATATTTTTTAGAGAATTTACTTTTATTATTACGCCTATCAAACTTAGACAATATTGCATACTTAAAACATTTTTCGTCGTTATTATTTATGTTAACTATAGCTCTTCTACCCTGAATTTTTTGTGGTAGAGGAATGTATGATGAACCTTCTAAAGGATTTACAACATTTATGCGTAGCTGTATACCATCAATATTTCGAAGAGACCAACCACTGCCTTTAGCAATAAATTCACTTTCTTCCTTCAAAAGTTTACCATATATATTATTCAACAATACTGTAAAATCGGATCCTGATGTTGTGAATGTGTTTTTTGTTTTAAACGAAATATCTTGCAACTCAAAAGTTAAAACATTTTCATACACACAATCCAAGTGAAGATTAAATTTAATTGAGTTATTTTTACACGCTTCCTTAATTTTTGGTAAAATAAATGTAGTAGCATATTTGAAAAAAAGTATAAAGTCTAGAAACTTTAACTTATTTTTTAAAAAGAAAGTTTTCGACCTGGACCTAAATCTTTCTATTTCTTGTAAACCATCACCAGTTGAACTCAAACGAATGGTTTTCGTAATTTTCATGTTTTTTTTTTTTTTCAAACTAGAAATATAAAACCAAGAGTCACATAATCATATACAAATACAACAACAACAAAATTATTCATAAATTTAAATATTTTCTTTTATTGTTTTTATTATATCGTACATTTTTTTTATTATTTCATCGTCTAATTTATTTTTAATTTTATTTTTATAATTCTTTCTTCTCCTAGCATGTTTGCTAGGCTTGCCTAGTGCTTTAATTATTTTTATTTTTTCTTTAGGGTTTAATAAAAGTGTGGAAGTTTGTTGTGCCATACCTTAACAGTTTCTGAATGAGTTGACCTTGAGAGTGATGAGGACTGTAACGATATTCTAAAAAAAAAAAAGAATCATAATGTTCATTCTTCATACTATTTTTTTTTTTTAAAAGACACTCAATATTTTCCATCCGTTGGTGACATAATTAAAATATATATTTTTTATTAGCACTGCTATCAAATAAATGACGCGACTTAAATAAAAAAAAATATGATTTTAAAGAGCACTACACAACTGGAGTAGAAAATTAGAACTGATAGCTTAATTTATGCATCCGTTGGTGACATAATTAAAATATATATTTTTATTAGCACTGCTATCAAATAAATGACGGCGACTTAAATAAAAAATATATTTTTAAAGAGCACTACACAACTGGAGTACAAAATTAGAACTGATAGCTTAATTTATGCATCCGTTGGTGACATAATTAAAATATATATTTTTTATTAGCACTGCTATCAAATAAATGACGCGACTTAAATAAAAAAAAAATATGATTTTAAAGAGCACTACACAACTGGAGTAGAAAATTAGAACTGATAGCTTAATTTATGCATCCGTTGGTGACATAATTAAAATATATATTTTTATTAGCACTGCTATCAAATAAATGACGGCGACTTAAATAAAAAATATATTTTTAAAGAGCACTACACAACTGGAGTACAAAATTAGAACTGATAGCTTAATTTATGCATCCGTTGGTGACATAATTAAAATATATATTTTTATTAGCACTGCTATCAAATAAATGACGGCGACTTAAATAAAAAATATATTTTTAAAGAGCACTACACAACAAGAGTACAAAATTAGAACTGATAGCTTAATTTATGCATCCGTTGGTGATATAATTAAAATATATATTTTTATTAGCACTGCTATCAAATAAATGACGGCGACTTAAATAAAAAATATATTTTTTAAAGAGCACTACACAACTGGAGTACAAAATTAGAACTGATAGCTTAATTTATGCATCCGTTGGTGACATAATTAAAATATATATTTTTATTAGCACTGCTATCAAATAAATGACGGCGACTTAAATAAAAAATATATTTTTAAAGAGCACTACACAACAAGAGTACAAAATTAGAACTGATAGCTTAATTTATGCATCCGTTGGTGACCTAATTAAAATATATATTTTTATTAGCACTGCTATCAAATAAATGACGGCGACTTAAATAAAAAATATATTTTTAAAGAGCACTACACAACAAGAGTACAAAATTAGCACTGATTGCTTAATTTATGCATCCGTTGGTGACATAATTAAAATATATATTTTTATTAGCACTGCTATCAAATAAATGACGGCGACTTAAATAAAAAATATATTTTTAAAGAGCACTACACAACAAGAGTACAAAATTAGAACTGATAGCTTAATTTATGCATCCGTTGGTGACATAATTAAAATATATATTTTTATTAGCACTGCTATCAAATAAATGACGGCGACTTAAATAAAAAATATATTTTTAAAGAGCACTACACAACAAGAGTACAAAATTAAATGTCTTTAAGTAAAAAATGATTACACTTACATAGCTAAGAATGATATAGTACTGTCGAAAACACTTCACTAGCAGGAGACGGTGTTTCCACTGGTAAAAGACAATCACAGACTGATGTTTAAAACACACGACTAGGCAGTATTTATGCAGTCGAAAGGAGGTTATTCTCCTCCTCATATAATAATTTTAAAGACATTCACAACATATACCACTTCTATAGTGTTATTAAAAAAAAAAAATTAAATCGACCTCGCTTGGAGAATATAGTTAAACGTCTATAGCAGTTAGGTTCCTCAAGGATTGTAACACGCAGCGAGTCGTAGGGTTTCTGTGGTCTGTGGTTAGTTCATTGAATCGTATTTATAAATTTTTTTTTTTAGCTATTGTACAATGATTGTTACAATGTTACAACTGAAATGAATAAAAGAAGGTTAATTATCTTTCTCATATTATTATTTCGAAGACACTCTACATAGTATTATAAAAAACAGAATCATCCCACTCCGTACATATTTTCGCTTAAGTTATTTTTTACCATGCAAATTTGAACGTTAGCACTATAGTGGGATATTTTTTATTTGTCAAGATTGGTATAAAACGAGAAAAAACATAAACATCAGAGTTATATTAACATTAGTTGTGTGACAGTACAGTTCGAATTTATTTTACAAACAAAATGTCGATTCTGGAATCATCCGACGAGGACTTCTTCGCAGTAAGTTAACTAAATAATAATAATAATATGAATGATATAAAAAATGTTTTTTAGGAGACCTCACAGAGAAATGATGAATCAAGCTCGTTTGATCCACCACAAGTGAAGAAACCCAAAGTAGTTAGCAAAAATATAAGAAAACAGTCAAAAAACAACAAAACGGTATTATTTATTTATATACTTTTTTTGTTTTTTTTTTTTTTAAATAGTAAAATTATGTATTTTCAGTCAACAATTTTTCAAAAAGCGTTAAAGGATGCAGTTATTTTAGATGAAGCGAACTATGAAGAATCGATGCTGCTTTTACGTGACAATAATCAAAAATGTGTCATTAATATTAAAACACCGAGTCCAACGTCTTATATAATTATACAAGAATATTTAGTAAATGATGTATTAGGATTATCCTATAGTGAGAGGTGAGAATTTTTTTTTTATTTTGGTACCAAAACGTAGCATAATTAATTTTTTTATAGATGGCGAAAAGTGAACCGATCTGCTAAAATTGGTCTTACAAATAATAAGGCGAATTCTAAAATCAACAATTTATTGAAAAATCTAATTGATGAATTGGGAGAAAAATTTTTATCAGATGAATCTCGCACAGTAAAAATGACAAAGGAATGATATTATTACAGCTATATCAACTATTTTAAATACATGATGGTGGAGGTTCTTTTCATAATAATAATATTAATATTGTATGGTATTAACGTAATGATATATTGTTAAGACGAGTTATATTTTTTACTTATATACCATTGTTTTTTTCAGTAGTATAGCAGAGGTATAATATAAATTAGAAATCATTGTTTTTTTTTTTCAGCAGTATAACAATAATAATAATGGTGGAGAACATTTCATTATAATAATAATATTGTATGATTTTAACGTAACGATATACTGTTAAGATAAGATTATATAGTATTACAATAAAATATTTTAAATTAGAAATCATTGTTTTTTTCAGTAGTATAGTAAAGGTATATAATAATAATAATATTAATGTTTATTCACGTGTGAAGAAAGTTAACTAGACTCAAACATTACTCACATAAACCGCATAAACACAGATCACGCAGCGTATAGAATACAACTAACCACAGGGTTTCATTGACGCGGTGTGTGTTGTTCAATGAATCGTAGTAATTTTTTTGTGTAATGGTTGCTATGACTCAAATGATTATATTTATTACAAGGCGAAACTGTTTCACTAAAAAGTAAGTGGGATTTTTTTTTTTTACTATCAAACTTAGTGTATGAGTAAGAGCTGTTAGTTCAAAATGGACAGCGATTCCTATCCATCGTCTGCTAGAACGGTGAGGCGTTGCAAACGACGGCGGCGACCGCGTAAAATCCGAACACAACGGCGACGGATAGGTTCTTACACATCTCTTGAGACTGATACTACCGCATCGCGAAGTCGATCGGTAAGTGTTAATTCCAGTTCTAGTTTTTTTTCATTATCACCCCTACGTCAACGGTTGCTCTCGTCGACTTCATATTCTCCTTGGAGCTCGAGTAGCGACGTAAAGTCTTTTCATAGTAAATCAACACTGTGGTTGGAATGTAAGTTTTTTTTATTTAACCCATCGTTTCACACAGAGCACATTTTAAGGTTTTTTTTTGTACTATACAATTTTTTTAATTACAAAAAAAAAAAAAACATATTATCAATTAGTAGTGAGTAAAAAGATACATATTTCTTTGAATGATTCAATGTTCTGAGTTTAACTAGTAATTAATAATAATGGAAAAAGTTTAGCAATCGTGTTCTTCAATATAGGTTTACCAACGATGGGTTAATAAATAAATATTAACATTTTTTTACAAAATAAGTAACGTACTTTTTTTATTTAGCGGATACAGATGACGAACATGGAATTGGAAATTGGTCTACATCAGAACCATCAATAATTTCGCTAGCAGATTCATGTAAGTTAATTTTTTTTTTATTTGAAATAAAATAATATTTTCTTCTTTTTTTTTTTAAAAAAAAAAAGGGTCATCAACAGATGTTACTTATGAATCGGATGCAGACGTGTTACCTCCACTTCTGCGTCTTAATCAGCCAGCTATTGAAACCATTTGGCTAACTGATTCGGATTAATATGTAAGTTAGTTTAATTTTTTTAATTATTGTTGAATTAATATTATACTGTTTTTTTTTTTTAGGGTTTTTAGGGAGGTATTTATTATTGTTGAAAACATGAACGTTAGAGATCACTGTAAGCTGATTTTAAATTAGTAAAATAAAAAAATATTTCAATATATTTTTTTTTTTAAAGGTTAACAGATAGAGTTGTTGGAAATTATTGTCATGTATACTCTACGCTATGAGACTTAAATGTGAGTAATTATATAATATATATATATATATAACACAATTGATTAGTTAATAGAATGTTTATTAAACACTTTTTTAAATTCACAATACAATTACATTATTTAATAAGATTAATAATACTTTAAAAATAATCCTCGTTCACTCAGATTTTGTTGAATTTTTTATTCTGTAAGCGCTTGGATCGACGAGCATCTGGCGTTTTCACAATTAATACTGAAATATCATTTTCTAAGTTTTGATTAATTATTTTAACACTATTTTTGGTTGCTTCAATAATTATATATTTTAACAAACGACACTTTCGACAGGAGCAGCATTCTAAATGTGAAGACATTATAATACCTTCTTGTAAGACGGCTATTTCTAAACTAAAACGAGTGAAATATTTTTTTAAATAATTAGCTTGTATACGTTTTCCCTCTCTCAATACATATATTTTTTTTTCCTTTTCAAAATTATACTATAGTTACTAGAAGTTCTCGCATAATCAAATTTATAATTTGATCATAATTAATTTTTAATTCATGGATGAATAGCGCATTTGTATCCGTTGCAAACATTTGAAAATCATAGTTTGCGACAAAAGCCGTTATGAAATCGATACGTCGACTTTCACTTGAAAAATTATTAACATCATTAAGTATAGCTGAATATATATCGTTAAAAGATTTTTGATACAACTCCAACTTATTTAAGCGTTCAGTTATATGTGCTTCAATACAATTTGAAATCATCTGAAGTGTTAACAAATTTATACGCGTCAATTTCATACGTTCATTTTTATTACGTAATATCACTGAATCTGTTTTAGGGTTAGTAGTACAACTAAAATCTGAACCTAATTGTATTCGCTTTGCATTGTTTTGAATTGTGTTCACAATGTTGTTGAATATTTGAAATTCCATCAGAGTACGCCACTGTTTTTCATCAAGAATTAGCTGGTCTTGACTATTTTTATAATCTAAATAAACAATAATAGATAATTTTTTATTTAAAAGAATACCTACCGAGATAGTTCTTTTGGGGTCAATGGTGAACGTAGATTTAGATAATACATTTGCCATTTTGTTTAAATAAAATTTTAGCATGCACATAAACGTCCGTACAACTTAACTCTATATTAACTACTTATATCTTTAGCATAAAGATGACGTATATATATATACAAACCTTGAGTATAAAACATACCCTCTCTTCTACTTATTCTAGTGTAATTGACCAAATGGGTTGTGCAATTTTTAGATTCTTTACATTTTGTAATTCTTTTGTCTGGTGTAGAACTTCTTCAAAAGATTCCTCAAGTTTTGTTTTAGATGTAGATTTTTCTATATTTGAATGTTCAATTTTGTCTAATTTAATTATAAAATTATAAATAGCTTCTAGTAGACTACATTTAATACAAGGCATTGTGCTTGGAATAATACTTTTAACATCGACTGTACTACTACACGAAACTCTATGTACTAAACACTTGAAAAAACATTTGATTAACTATATTAGCCCCCCCCTCTTCTTACCGCTATATTTTATTTTTTAAATTGGAAAAAAAAAATGCAAAAAGTGTAGACGCAGTGACGGAATGAATTAAAGTATGACTCAACCTCAACCTACCTAGCCTAGCATGAGTGCTATCAATCCACATCCTATTAAATTTATCCTAGAAAGTCACGCCTTAACCTACTACGCCACTGCGTCTACAATGTGAATTCATGGTTTTACTAGTATTTAAAGAGTTAATTTAAATGTAAGAATGTTGTAATAAATTAACATCTTTTTTTTATTTAATAGGTTTTAAAATCAATGAGGTGAACCCTTCACTAACCGAAGATAACCACAATCTGGAGACCATCTTGCATGCTCGATCCAAGGTTCGTCGTTCGGCTCCCAAGATCTCAGACCTTGACGACAATAAAAACATGAGACATCATCATTTGATCCATCACCAATATAAATAAAACCGGCTTCACTCATAAGTTCTCGCTTTGAAATAAGTAGTGTATTACTACATTTATCAAAAGTCTTGTTACGCGTTTTACAATCTAAATAGTCTAATGTACAAAAAACATCACATTCACTATTATAATCATCCATTATTATACTGTTTAAATTGAATTAAAATGACTATCATTTATTTGAAACATGTTTTTATATATGATTTATTTCTTCCACTTCTTATTTAGTAGAACACTCAATGTTACAAATAATTTTCTATACTAAACAATATATAAGGTTAAACTATAATTTGTAAAAATGGGCGGTAAAGCCCCAAATTACTACTACTCGTTTGTACAGTTCCAAAAAAGTCTAAAACTTTCTCAGTGGCTTTACAAGCATCAACGACTGCTAAATTAAGACAGTGAGCAAAACACCATATATTTAGAGCACTTGAATTCTCAGCTTGTACATAAGATCTAAGACTTTTAAATTCGCTCTGCATACTTGATGCACCATTGTATGCTTGGCCTATCAACTGAATTCTTTAAATTAACCCATGTTTATCACATAATTTACTAAACAACTCAAACATTCCTTTCCTGTAGAATTTTCTATAGCATCAACACAAACTAAACGTTTTGAAAATAGTATAAGATTTATATATATATATGTATATATTAAACTAAAATGTCTAATAAAAATTAATTTAATTTAATTTTTGTGAAAATATATTTTTAATCTTTTATTTTATTTTATTTATTTATTTTTTTTAATTGAATTTATTACATTTTACCTGATATGTATATTGTATAATATTAGTAGTGCTCTTTTATTTTTAATTTTTTGAAAAAAAAAACACTTGTAATAATAATAATACTTAAATGTAATAATATGACAGTATTACCTTTATTTTCTTTCTCAGTTGTATATTAAAAATGTACGTTTCTTTAAGAATATACTCATGTTACAACAATACTAGAATATTTGTACTATTTTATTATTATACCTGGTCACTACATTATATATCATGACAATTTAAAATCCTTCAAGATTAATTTAAATATATCACTTTCATTTTCAGCTTATAATAAAAATCGATTCAAAATAGTAATAATAGTAATAATAATAATAATTAAAAAAAAAAAAAAAATAATATTAACAATAACGGATACATATTTACACCAGACGTTTGACACTAACTTATAGCTGAATTAAAGCAAAAAGGAAAAAGAAAAAAAAATGAATTATATCCGAATTTAAAATAAAAAATATTTATAACCGATTTAACCGAAATTTTATTTTAAATGAGAAAAAAAATATTTAATTTTTTGAGAATGCTCGATATTATTTGGAACCCATTCATCTATCCACAACATGTCTGAGAAATTAGCCCAAATTTCCAGACGTGTTTCACAACATTCACATTTCTTCATCTGGGTCAATTCGAAAATTAAATCCCATGATCGAAACATTTCTCTCCTACATGACACTATTTCAAAACCATCTTCCAGAGTCGGTAGATGGCATTCCGATTCATCAGTGTTGCAGAAATACATTTTTCTTCTCACTGCCCTATTCCCATCCTGACCACGAACCCAACCCCACTTATAATTTGAAATTATTAAATTTCTTCCCCACTAATTTCGGAAACAACACTTTACTTCGAAGTAGGTATAGCAGAAATAGTTTGCTCGAAGTACCCCTCCTATAAGCCCATGTCTATCAGTCCCCCCCAAAATAGTCTTGATAGAATCGTATTGAAAATTTCTGTAATATGTATTTTATCGCTCACTTGCTTTTTCAGAGTATTGGTTAATATCAAACGCCTGTGTATAAATCCGTTCCATTCTGACATTGCTATCGCGAGAGCCATCGAACCTCAACTCCCACCGAAGCGTCGCCATTTGATCGCTACCTTCTATCGGCCATGGATCACAGAATGTTTCGACTCCCCACGAACACTCGTTAAGCTCCTCTGTCCGCAGAGGGATGAAGTTTTCTGTAAAATCCATGGTCTTTTGAATTTCCACTGTAATTAACTAAAATCGAAATAATTAATCAGCAGATAGTCGTATTGTTTATGAGTTATGTTTTTTTCTAAACCTAGCAGTAAAAATATATAATATATATTTTAAAATGTATAAATAATATTTGTAAGGATAATTACTTTCGTTATCAGATAGATTGAACAGACCCTCTTCATCGTCGTCAGAAGAAGAAGAAGATTCGCTAGATGTTTCTTCTTCTTCCTCCCCTGATGAAGCAAACGCGACAAATTCTCTCCTTTGACGCGTAAAAACAGGGGTCGGTATACCGAATTGGGCAATGAACATTTCACGAGGCTCCGTCGGTTCATCATCCTCGGTTAGATTGATGTTCGCGATTTTATTTTTAAACTTTTGGTTGCATTTTTATTGAATGTTAAATGATGGAACAGTTAAAAGACGAAAAACGAGGTTGTAACGAAACGAGAAATAAAATGTTACTGAAACCTTCAAAATAGATTGACGGTTGCCTAAATACATAATATACCAAAAAATACCCTCACCCTAAGAAAAAATCTGTTGCAGTATGCGAATGTGTAGTTTGTTTGTGTGTATGCCTAAATATATGCTTTCAATGTTTGACGGTGAACTCCCTAAGGAATTCACCCTTAAGAAAAAATCTGGTGCAGTGTGCAGTGTAAACAGGTGCTGCGAGGGTAAAAAAGCGGTTGTTTATGGTTTTATACACATTCTCCGAGGTGTTGGGTGAGCATCGTGGAAAGCAAAAAATTATATTTTTTATTCTTTCACTTGCGATATATCCAATACTTATTATTAAATAGTGTATAGAGCTTATAGCTACGTATATAAGAACACATTTTGACTGTGTGTGTGTGTGTGTACTATAAAGTACCGTCCATTCTCAAAGTAAGATACCTGTTTCAGTGTGCAAAGAGAAAATAAATATAATAATAATAACTATAAAATATTGTAATGAACACAATCATTCAAAATATTAAATTTATGATGCATTTAAAGTTGGTACAACTGAAAACTTATTTTAAAAAGACTAGAATTAATGAGGAATAATTTAGCTTTAACATATCTTGTCTTTCGTTCAGTCAGTGTTAAGCTAACAAGGCATACAGTCTAATTTTGTTTGTGTTTTTATTGTGAATTAAAAAATGGCTAAAGTAAAAAGTAATAATAAAAACGGTAAAAAAATTAAAATTAAAAAAAAATGTACCCAGTTCGAAACGGACGGAGAAAGTGTTTGTAACGAACTTTGAGAAAGAAATATACTTCTCCTCCGTGTTTGGTATCACCGTTATCCGTTTGTTATCGTTTCCTAATTGGCGGATGATATAATGGGCGTCATAACTGCTCATGTTATGCAAAAAACACGGCACAAACTTTGTTGTCACAAGCTTTAAGTTGCATTTATTGCATAGGGTTCGTCTAAATTTTCCTGTCAGATGGTCGTGGTCGGCTGTTTTGAGGTTGTTCTCTGAATACTGCGTCTTGCAAAACTCACATGCTATGTTCGCAATATAAGCAGCAGCCTCTTATTCACTCATTATTATAGGTACATTAGTATTTTTTAAAAGCTCACTGATTTTCGTTGCCTCCTCGCTTATGTCAGCCACAAATCGTTTCGCCACTTCGTCGGGTTCCGATAACCTGCTACCTCTGTGCAAATTTATTGACCTCCGAATGTTGTACATATCCAATAGTTCTTGAGATACTTTTACGATGAACGCATAGCTCATTGCGACATGTTCATGAAGTTCCTCTGTGTTGGCACCTATAGTTTTGTCGGACTTCACCAGCAAGCTCTCAAAATCGGCATAAATTGCAAATGGAACTTTTTGGGTTTTTTGCCATGCTTCGAATTTCAACTTTGTACCCTCCTCTGGCATTATTGGTAATAAAGGCTTGTACTCACCACAGATTTTTTTATGCTGTAGGAGTGCTTCTCGCCCGTGCGGCTTGTGTAATTTGGGTACAAAGTTGAAACCTGTAAAGCACCGTTTGCAACTAATCATTTTCGATGTGTTTTTGGACTGCTGGCACTGAACCAAACGAGCAAAATTGGTTATTTGCATATAGTGGCTGACTTGAGCTTTGTTTGTAATAAGCAGAAGGTCGTGATGGTCCTCTTTCTCATCATCAACTACCCGCAACGGGAATACTACATGTTTTATTACTCCTCCAGCTTCTTTTTTTTCCTTCAATCCGAACACATTCACCGAGGTAGAAGGATTATATTTTTCAAATAATCTGATATCTTAAAGCGGAGTAGGGTAGGTTATACCAGAGAAGTCGTATAGTCCATCTACTCGTGCATAATTGGCTCCTATACGATCTCTGTGTACCCCTGTAACCCTTTTTGCCAGTATCGCCCATTGGAAACATTTTTCATCGATATTTTGTGGATTAACTCTTGCCCACCTGTTTCGAATATCTGCTGGCAGGGTTATATACGATGAACCCCCTAACGGAGTATAATTGTATACCCCTAGAAGGAGTCCATCGATGTTTAACAGGGAAAACCCACTACCCCGCCCCGTGTACTCTTCTTCCCCGGTGAGTAATGTTCAAAATGCATTATTAATTTCCTCCTCAATATTTGCGTCCTGGAATATCTCCTTTGCTCCAGTTTTAAACGACCTATTTTCTTCACTATGCTCCTGGTATGGAATATTATAGGTCGCCTCCAACTTCAGATTGAATTTAATAGGAGATTCCAGAACACAATTCCTGAGCGTTGAGGCCAACTCATCCCTAATCAAATTTAAAAACATATGGTATCCGACCATTTGTTCTATGTTTTTTCTATAAAACCATCGAATGTTGCTTTTAAGGGATGAGCCCGTCTCCACAAACCCAAGCTCTGTTATGCTCCTTAACCGTGATATTTTCATACGCTTGCTTTTTATAGAGTTATCGTTATTGCTACTACTAGTAGAGGCATTAATAGTAGCAATAGGTCTTTTGTTTGCTGACGTAGACTGCCCTGCAGCAGCACTAACTAAAAATAATAAGTATCTTTAAATATAAATTTAAATATATACGGTTCACAAAAATAAAAATTAATTAATTAATTAAAAATTTAAAAAAAATGCCATTCATTGCCTGAGGAATGTTATGAACGCCTACGCCAACTAAAGATCCTATTGACTCATTATAGTCAATACCATACTTGACTAGGTCTAGTTTAAAAATATCGAAAACAATATTTATTTAATATAGCACTTAGTAATTTAAATGAAAAAGTAAAGAAATTCATAGAATATTAAACTGTCCGAACTTACGGTGTATTTTCTTTACATGGTTGGATAAATCATCTGTTCTGATAAACGACGCTAAGCATATCCGGCACGTATGTCTTATACCGTAATGTACTGCTTTCTTGTGTCGCACTACATTTTTAACCGACGTATACACTTTTTCACATTGATCGCACGAGAACATAATTGTTTTATTTTATAAATTACACGATATAATATATATATATATATATATATATATGAAGCAGAAGAAAAACTTGTTTAAAGATTCAAGGCAGATAGAAGACTGAACGTGTAACAGTCTACTTGCTGGTAGTATCTGTTTTTATAACAAGTGTCATAA